CATTCCAGTTCAACTATTTAAAATCTTAAAAGATGACACTATTAAGGTGCTACATTCAATATGCCAGCAAGTTTGGAAAACTCAACAGTGGCCAGAGGACTGGAAAAGATCAGTCTACATACCAATCCCATTTCACACGCTAGCAAAGTTATGCTCAAAATCCTCCAAGGTAGGCTTCAGCAGTATGTGGACTGAGAACTCCCAGAAGTACAAGCTGGATTTCGAAGGGGCAGAGGAACTAGAGGTCAAATTGCTAACATGCACTGTATTATGGAGAAAGTTCCATAAAAACATCTACTTCTGCAAAAGCCTTTGACTGTGTGGACCACAGCAAACTATGGCAAGTTCTTAAAGAAATGGGAGTGCCTGACCAGCTTATCTATCTCTGAGAAACCTATACGTGGGACAGGAAGCAGCAGTTAGAACTGGATATGGAACAACTGATTGGTTCAAAATTGGGAAAGGAGTACGACAAGGCTGTGTATTCTCCCCCTGCTTATTTAACTTATATGCAGAATACATCATGCGAAAGGCCGGACTAGAGGAATCCCAAGACGGAATTAAGATTGCTGGAAGAAATATCAACAACCTCCGATATGCAGATGATACCACTCTGATGGCAGAAAGTGAGGAGGAATTAAGGAACCTTGTAATGAGGGTGAAAGAGGAGAGTGCAAAAAATGGTCTGAAGCTCAACATCAAAAAACGAAGATCATGGCCACTGGTCCCATCACCTCCTGGCAAATAGAAGGGGAAGCCCCGAAATTAAAAGACACCTGCTTCTTGGGGGGAAAGCGATGACAAACCTCAACAGCATCTTAAAAATCAGAGAAATCACCTTGCCAACAAAAGTCTGAATAGTCAAAGCCATGGTTTTTCCTGTAGTGATGTATGGAAGTGAGAGCTGGACCATAAAGAAAGTGGACCATCAAAGAATTGATGCTTTTGAATTGTGGTGCTGGAGGAGACCCTTGAGAGTCCCCTGGACTGCAAGGAGAACAAACCCATCCATTCTAAAGGAAATCAAGCCTGAGTGCTCACTGGAAGGACAGATCCTGACGCTGAGTCTCCAATACTTTGGCCATCTCATGAGAAGAGAAGACTCCCTGGAAAAGACGCTGATGTTAGGAAAGTGTGAAGGCAGGAGGAGAAGGGGACAACAGAGGACAAGATGGTTGGACAGTTTCATCGAAGCCACCAACACGAATTTGGAAGACAGAAGGGCCTGGCATGCTCTGGTCCATGGTATCACGAAGAGTTGGACATGACTAAACGACTAAACAACAACAGTGTGTGCTGGTGGCTGGGAGAAAGAAAATTGGTCCTCGGGTTCCTGAGATTTCCCTTCTCCTGCTTCAGCAGCCTTAGAATCACAGAACCATAGAATTGCCCATTGTTAGATATTGCACTAAAGCCACTCTTATTTCTAAATTTTAGAAATTTAGAATTTTGTTAGATCAAGTTGTCTTTTTGAGCTGTTCCCACCCTACAAGACTAAGAAGCGTCATTGATCATCCTATTTCTGCCTTCTCTCCCTCTTAGGCTGCTCTGAACATGCTCACAAAATGCCAGTCCCTGGGATATGCTGAAAACCAGATACTGTGTGTCCCATTGCACCCAGGGTGGTTACAGACAGAAATGGGAAATTCAGCGGTAGGTAATTTCTGGAAGAATCATTCCCAAATGCCATCAAATCTATTGGGCAACCCAAGTCTCCCTTTCATTAAGGAAGTTTTATTTTTAGCTAACATGACTGCTCAGTTCACAACTGTATCTGAATTTCCACAAGTCACATTAGAAATGATCTAGAAAATTCACTAACAACATCTGGAGATTGCATCCAATTCCCCATTATTAAGGTAATCAGAGTACAGCTTGGATTAAAAAAAAACCCAAGAGTTTCTTGCATCAGCGCCACTACATTAGGAAAGACATATTATAGTTTTGCTAAACCAGATTATTGTTGTTTTGCTCTATCCACTGAATAATTTGCTATTGAATAACTTGCTATTGTTGTTGTTTGATCATTAAGTTGTGTCTGACTCTACGTGACCCCATGGACCAGAGCACGCCAGGCCCTCCTGTTTTCCACTGCCTCCCGAAGTTGGGTCTGTCAATGACACGGGCTCCTCTAGAGGATACCCGGTCGGCGGACAGAGAGTAATTAGGATTTTGCACACCCTTATGGTGCTGAGTGAGTCCTGGTTCTCTGCAAGGCGTGATCCAAACACTCGCTTACAAGTCTGCCCGAATAAGCACACTCTTGTACCTTAGGATATTTCAGATAGAAAACCATGTGGGTTTTGTAGTCCATAGACATACTATGCCCCACAGGCTAGGACTCATTAAGTAAAATAGGCCGAGGCAATACCATCACGGATGACCTAAGACAGTTTACTGTTCAAGAGACCAATTGATTTTTATAATCATTGTTTTATTAAAGAAAATAGAAAATTCCATAAAGAAAAAGTCAGTTTATGCAAAAGCATGCAAAAGATCATTTTGCTGGCTATTTACAAAATTGTAATGAAGTAAAGAATCCATGAAAAATATAAAAGTATTAAAAATAGTAAAAGTTCCAAAAATTCAAGAAAACAAGTAAAAACTGGTTAGGAAGGCAAAAAGGCAGGTGCCTCCCCTCTAATCCAAAAAGGTAATCCATAAGGAAAAGCAAAATGAAGAAAATAATCCAAATAAGTGTAAAAGTCCAAAGTCCATCATTATCCTGTAAAAAGAAAAATCCTGTAAAAGAAATATCCAATTTTATTAGTTTTACTACTGCTAATAATCACATCTCTCTAAAACTAATCCATGTTCTCATCTCCTCACTGTATTGTCCATAGGCAAAAGTTCCTTTTTCAAGCTTAGCTGGCATATCCCTTATCTTCCTCTTCTCACGGTGTCATCCAATCACGGTACGACATCTGGTAAACAGTCCTTCTTTATCTCCTGTCCTTCTGCTCCATTCCTTTCCCATGGGTAGATTTCTCTGACCCATTCCTTTCACATGGGTAACAGGTGTTATTTGGGTTTGGTGGTCTGCAATAAGCCACAACAAAGTCCATCTATCTTATCGTAGAATGTTCTTCTCAGGCCTTCAGAAGAGCATTCTCCCATCCTCCTACTAGCAGATACTTTGTCAGCATTGCAGAAATCATCTATGCAGAGAACCAATATGGAATCCCTCTTACATTGTTCACTACTACGTAACCCATCTTCAGTACAAGATCTCAACCAAATATCCCATCTCATGACAGGGTCAAATTCATGTTGGTAGCTTCGAAGATACTGTCCAACCATCTCATCTTCTGTCGTCCCCTTCTCCTCTTGCCTTCACACTTTCCCAACATCAGGGTCTTTTCCAGCGAGTCTTCTCTTCTCATCAGATGGCCAAAGTATTGGATCCTCAGCTTCAGGATCTGTCCTTCCAGTGAGCACTCAGGGTTGATTTCCTTTACAATGGATAGGTTTATTCTCCTTGCAGTCCAGGGGACTCTTAAGAGCCTCCTCCAGCACCACAATTCAAAAACATTAATTCTTTGGCTGTCAGCTTTCTTTATGGTCCAGCTCTCACTTCCATACATCGCTACTGGAAAAACCATAGCTTTTGACTATG